ATCACTATATAATACATCATTCTTGACAGGCAAATTTACTAGTTCTACATAACAATGAATATAAACAATAATTTACCTTGTCTGAACTCCTTTAGGACTGTCTACAGAAGCTGATAATGATGGAAAGTGAACTTCACTTGAAATTTCTGGAGCAGTTTTAGGATTTCTTTTTGGGCCAACACTTGTACTAGAGTAACGTAAATGAGGTGGTACATATGTACTGGGTTGCTTTCCTTCTTTAACTTCTTCTTCTACTACTATGGTTTCTAAAAAAAGATTAAACTTTGATCATGTAAACAATTTTTATTTATATGGAATTTCCCCAGTTTCATGCTTAGAATTGTAAATTTAGAAATTGGGAGCTCATATTATATGATCAATATGAGCTAAATGCATAAAATGTAGGTGGAAATTTGGACCTTGTCTTACATGTCAGTATATATAGTAATATCTTTTAAAATTTGCTAAATTATTTTCATTTTCAACTTGATTATTTCTTTTTTAATAGTTAGATAGTAATATCTTTATAAATTTCTGAAGTAGTAAGCATATTGCCAAATGATCTGCTTTATTATCCACCAGGCTATTTTAAGGCAAATAAATAATTAAATACAAATCAATATGGCTAGAAGTAGGCAATTATGCTGCTATATAGTAATTTTAATAGTTAGAAATAAATTATTTGTATTTAATTGTTTACTAGTCTTAAATTAGCCTGATTGCTAATCCGGCAGATCATTCGTTGATACAAATGAATTGCTTTATTGTTTGTTATACCAGTTTGTATGTTATAAGCATTCTTTAAAAATTAGATATTGATTTGTTTTTGCAGTATTAATGTAATTTTAATATGGTTTATTTTAAGAAAGATAAGATAGTTAATTTTACATATTGCATTAGATCTTTTAATTAATTATTTGAAATTACAATTTTTATTTATCAGGTGCTACAAGTATGGTGCCATATATATCATCAGCTTGTATGTATAGTAAAATTGCAAATATTCTACTATTTTTCTATGCTGATCCTCGAATGGGTGTTATCTACATACTATTATGTTTGTGTAAGTTATGCTTTACATAAAAAGTAGTTAATTATTTATTAATATAAATAGAAATTTTTAATAGTAATTAATTTAGTTTACTTCATTATTTCATACAAAATATTAAATCCAAACTTTAAGAGTAACACATACTTTTAAAACAAAAATTATTTTGTTTTAAAAGTATGTGTTAATCCTTATGTACCCAGATTTTGTGGACTCCCTGTATTTCATCTCTTTATGATGATGATGATGATAAAACATTTAGTTTCTAAATTTATAAGGAATCTATTTAATGCATCTATAATCTAAATATATGTATTAGTTAAAAAAATTAAAGAAAATGAATGATACAAGAATGAAATAATTTTTATCATACTTGTAGAATTTTTAATTAGACCATCCTTTTGGTAGAACTCAAATTGGATCTATTTGAGATGGTTTAGTTTGTTTGGAAACAGTGTGCAAAAATTTTTTTGCCAAGATTTCAATTAAACTAGTTTGACAGATATACAGATTAGAACTTTAACTTATTATATAACAGTGAAATTAGCTTGAACTCTTCATAAACATTTCATGAATAAAATTTTTAATATTTCAAAGAAGGTAAAATTAAGATTACATTTTTTTTTGCAGAACCATAAGTAATTGTATTTGTTTTATTACATTAAATCTCTCTCTTTCACACACACACACACACACACACACACAAAATCTTATTAAGAAAAAATTGTCTAGGCATAAATATTTTTAAGGTAGTTTATCTTATTTTTCCTTGTTTATAATTTCAGTACATCTATTGTTATTGCCTGAACCAACTTATCAGGGACCTGATAACATTGTATATTTTCATGGTCCACTTTTAGAGGTAAGTTGTAATTGAACTTAGAACATTTTCAAATGTCATAAAAGTACTAATAGTTAATATCAATATATAAAGTTTAAAATTTCACTTTTGAGTTTTAATGTATTGATAAAATTTTATTCAATTATTAAAAGATTTTTCTTGTTTCTTAATTTCTTGTAACAAATATATTATATATTAAGAATTTTATAAAAGTTATATATAAATGCTTAAAATTAAAAACTTTTGTTGTTTAATAATGCTTTAGATATTACTTTATTAAATTATTTTTAAGTTATCAATCAGATTACTGACAGATGCAGTGTATTTATTTGTAGTAATAATTTCTCTATCATTAAATAAGTTAGTCAAATAATTACTTTATAATTTTTTGTAAATTGTTAGTTATTTGGTATTAATAATAATTAAAATTGTTGTATAAACTTTTTATATTTGATTTTTCTCCCTAATCTAAATATAATTCAAACTTAAAACATAATAAAAGTAATATTAAGAAAAAGGCTATAACCTAAAAATTAAGCATCAGTTATTGATTTTAGCATTTTTAACTTTACATAAATACACTATATTTTGGTGATAAATGTAATTTAATAAAATGAGAAAAAGTAATTGTTTTTCTGTTACTGATGTTATAGGAAGAATTTCAACAAGACAAACATGTGACATGGATAATAACTTTTTATGCTGCCTGGAATCCATCATGTGTTAGTTTCGCACCAATATTTGCTGAATTATCAGCCAAGTATGAAATGATATTTACATGAAAATTAGTAATTACTTTATAATTTTATTTGACCTGATAAAATATTTATACAGGTAACCCCCGTATAACACGGCACTTCTATAGCACGGATTCGCTCTAACACGGTTCGAGAATTGGTACCATCCCCCGTATAACACGGTACTTTTATAGCACGGATTCACTCTGACACGGTTCGAGAATTGGGTAAAACCCTCGTACAACNACCTGTGAGATGCACATAGAATCATGCTACTCAAACCTTAATATATGAAAGCATAGATGAAAAAGCTAGAAACTCGTGTTTTGTATTTTTGAATTACAACAAAATAAGAAAACATGAATAATTCAGCAATATTATAAAATCAAAAATAATCTTAAAGGTTGCTGCAGGGTAAATGTAAGAAGAAAAAAAAAAGCTACATTAATAATAAATAAAATAAAAACTAAATTCAGTTAAGTGATAAAGGGGGAATAAATTATACTGGATACTAACCATACCTGCATTATGTGTAAGGTGTATGATAATTCTATATAGTACATGCATTGTTAGACCGTGCATTACATATTTTTAATTAGATGACAAGATTAATTATTATATATATATATTTTTGAAGTGTGAAAAACATTTTTGGCTTTGTTTTACTGTTGAGCATTTTGTGATTTTTACTGAATATACTTATTGCATGATTTTGTAATTATTTGAAATCTTACTGTCTGTATGATATAAAAACCAACAACACATGTTTCTGGTGGATAAATTATAAATAAATAAAGTTATATAAATAATAAATATATATGTAAAACTTAATGATTTAGGACTAAACAGTAGTATAACAAAAAAATAAAAACAAAGGAAACACATGCAATTTAGTTGTTTTGAAAAAAATAAACAAATGGAACTACAGTATACAGATATTATAACATTATATATATGTTACTGTGAAAGACTGAAATTAGAGAATGTTGATATTCTCCGGTGAATGTTGACACATACAAAATACGTTGGTTAAAGTCCAAATATTTGGTTACATTATTATACATTTGAACAATCACCAGTGTATGTCAGCAAGCACAGATAAGCTTTGGTGGAGGTCAAAATGACACCCAAGAAGCCGATGCCAACAGAGAGGCAACAGTCTGTCGCCAAATCCTTTGTGGGTAGTGGGAAGTAGGACAAGGTCTTTTGATCCCGTGAGGTTGGGATCGGTTTGTCAGGTCAAGTGACAGAGGATGAGAGGGGTCGTCGATATCTGAATAAAAGACACCATTAACAGATCAGTTCATAATCACGTAATAACATAGTTTGTAATTTGTAAAGAAAAGTTACTCTCCATAGATGATAATTCTTCTCAAGAAATATTGTTGAGAGAAGCAGCTGCAGCTAATTTGAAAAGTGGAGGGCAAGGCTATACATGCATTTATTCGTGGAACACTACTAAAAAGAAGTGTTCCACGAATAAATGCAGTTGTAAAAGCAAGGGACTTTTGTGCAATTCAAAGTGCCTAACAGTTTAAGTTGTAGCAATAAATAAGATTGTATAATGTTAATCACATAATTTATGTGTAAGTTTGTTATTGTATTATTTTCTTTAATGATTAAGAATGTACTGTTTGTTTTAGGTTCAATAGTTTTTTTAGATGTGCTGTTACTTAAGCTTTCTCCTATTTTCACATATTAAAAAGTTGTATTTTTGTCTTAACGTAATAAAAGTATTTTTTATTTAACATTCACCATCAGTGCATGCTGAATGTCGACATTTGCCAGTGTGAGAAACGATGATATTTAACAAATATTTCGTACATACACGAAACGACTGTGTGAATGTGACATTCACCAGAGAATGTTGACATTCGCCAGATATCTGTCATTCACAGTAACATATATATAAATTAAATTATAAAACAATACAGTAATACCTCGAACTTACGCGATAGGTGGGACC